GAAATTCAATCCGGGGATGGTGAACCCGCAGCCAAAAAGCCTCGTAAAGAATATCGTTGTGACACCTGTAGCAAGATTTTCTCTCGTTCAAGAAATCTTAAAACCCATGTACGAACCCATACTAGTGAGAAACCATTCGAATGCAACCGCTGTGATAAGAAGTTTTCAGACAAATCGGTCCTTACTGTCAAAACAGGTCAAGCGTACCCCCCAAGATTCTATTAATGAATTGATTATTTGAAAAATGAATCCGTTAGTCGTTCCCGTAACTAGTGTCAAATTCAAATCGGAATTACTGCATGCTTGATGAGCAGTGAATAATTTACGAGAACTTGTCTGTCGTTGGTCAGATTGAAAATCTTTGAATGAATTAAAATTCTTAGAAGACATTTACATCAAATTCAGGGAAACTGAGCTGGTAGAAATTTCGTAACTGAATCGCGTGTGAATTCACGGCTCATTACGCATGCAAGAATGTACAGATGATTCTGAAATTTACAACTGCCAACGGACTCAACTTTCGAATAATAAATTCATTAATGGAATTTTGGGGGGTACGCTTGACCTGGTTTGACTGTAATCGTCACCTGAAAGCCCACGACAGGCAAGCTGCCGAACGTACGTTTACTTGTAATACGTGTGGAGAAACCTTTCACAACCGCGCCCCTTTTAACGTTCATGTACGCACAGCTCATCAACAACAACAAACAAACAACCATAAACGCAGCGCTACGAGCTCAAATAACGCACCAGCTGCGAAGAAAAAACAAGAAGTCTGCTGATCCTGGCACTCGACCAGCCCCCACTCAAGCATCCGCTGCAACTGCAAGTTCCAGTCGGCAAGTGGATCCCGTTCTTATTCCTTCAAGGCTTGCCTAGACTTGCCCGATCTCTTTTAACCCTGATTGGCTCATGTAGAATCTTTTCTATCTTCCAAATAAAAGCGGGCTCTCCGTTCAGCATATTACTCTTACAATGGCTTTGCTAAGGAAAAAAGTCCTACTATCACCAATAGTTTTTCAAAGATGGTTCCAAATATTCAGATCGAATCAAGCGCTACACCTCTGCTCCTCTACACCTCAGAAGATAAAGCGAGTTCCTTATCCGATCAGTTCTGCCCATTTCATCCCCACTCAACGTTGGAATTGGTAGAAAAAGCGCAAGGATTTTGCTATGTGTACTGCCCCGAGGAAATGTACTTTATGTTTGCCCCTGCTTCAGAATGGAAAGAGGACATATAGTGGATCGCGCATCATACACACTCTGATGTGAAAAAATATGCAGTTCAGTTGGTCTGTGATTGTTTTAACAAGCTAGCATTGATAAAAACTAGACAGCCTTGGAGCCAGGATCGAATGTTTCTGACATGCTACAAAAAAGAGTGTGGATTTTTCCTGTGGATAGACCAGCCAATATCGCATGGTATCAAGGAGCGGCTCTCGTATTCACCTCAGCCACGGGTCACAAGATTCCATCCTAATGGGGAGAAAAAGGAGATGTTTGACAAACCCACATCGACCCTTCATGGACCTTCAAAAAAGAGATTGAAACCCAAAAAGAACTAATGGATACAGAAGGATTCGATTGGTTGGAATCGACAGAACTAGCGATCGATAAGCGAAAATTTTTACTCAGTCGACTGTATCAAAAGCAGCCCATTCCACAAGATGAAGACTAGTCCAAATATGAATGTTATAGAATTATTTTTTCCTGGACTTTTGTATTGTTGCGTTTCAATAAAAACTGTAAACAACCAAACTTTAAGAGTGTTTTATTGCTGACTTGAAAATAATAACAATAATAGTAAACTTGTACAATAAATAAAAAAATCTGATAATTGAAGTACCAATTACTAATTCACGGTCAAAACATTAGGCACTGTTATTTGTGATTACACTTAATAAAGATGATGGTTCCAATGTTGAGAGCTGTTGCGTGACTAGCGACGCGCGACACCCACGCGTGTGTCTGAGAAAAAATAAAGAGACATGACTAGAAATGGCCCGTTTGTCTCCTTTTGTCCCTTTTGGCCTGGTTTTGGTCTTTCAGGCCTGGTTATGGCCTTACTGGCCTGTGTTTGGCCTTTCTGACACTCTGTATAACCTGACTATTTGCGATGAAGATGTCACTTGTATTCAGTCATCGAACTGTCAACATGGTTTAGAAGAGAGTTTGCAAAAACTGTCCGATTTCATCGTGCGGGGCGAAGTACCTTGTCAGATTAGCTAACCATCTCGCGGATGTTCATTAGTTAGACCACATACAGCGAACATAGTATTTACAAGAGGCAAAACTACAACCTAAAGTTAGAGTCGTCGTTTACGAAAGTGAAGCGGATAATTCCGGAAAAAATTACTATCGCAATCCAGTGCAGACACAAGAAACGGTGTACGAACTGTCAAGATCACGAAGAAATGAAGCCTCTTTTAAAGCAAAAGCTAAAAGAACAACTACAAAGAACAAGACAAACCGAAAGAAACAAAAAAAGTCGGACTCTTGGCTTAGAGACCATAGGCGAATTGTGTAGACAAGGAAGGATTATTTATTATTCCTCGAAATAGGACTGAGAAAACAGAATTGTAATAGTCAGTCAAAAGATTAATTTTCATTCCTTCTCCTTTCAAATGGCTGTGTATTTGACTCTTTTTGTCATTGTTTTTTAATAAACTTTTTTAAAACGGTATCTCTTGTCTGGTTTTATTGCTAGCAATTATTAGTCGCGTGTTTTAATTGATCCTTGTTAAGTTATTAAACTCATATACTGATACGTCAAGGTGCTCCCTTGGGGTTTTTACTGCAGAGCTAATTTGTATTCAAAGGTGGGCTTGCGAACTCGCATAATTACCTGACTAACGGCACGTGAAACGCTGAGACTTAGTAGTAAATAGTTTTTCATTTCCTCGAGATAGAACGGAGAAAACGTCAGACAAAATTGAAATAGAGTTTTCAGCTCCACTCTGTGTAAATGTGTTTTGTTTATATATATCCGAGTTTTAGAGCTAAATAAGAAGACATAAACTAAATTGAAATTAAGACTTTTCAACTCCACTTTGTGTATGTTTTTTGTTTATATATCTGAGTTTAAGCGCTAAATAAGGTATAGCAAGCCGTTTCTCGCGTTGGTAGGTGATCGCTTCTCTTACTCCTATTTCTCTTTTAATAGACGGTCTGAAAACCGAGCTCAAATTACTTACCGGGCAAGCCCAGGCAAGCCTATTGTTTCTATTGAAGTAGAGAGACGCTCATTAGTAAACCTATACCGAATTAGTATGCAAGAAGGTATTTTTACCCAGCTGGCTAGACACTGACTAGGCACATAATTAATATGCTGGAAAGCAGTGACTAGGCACTTAATTAGTATGGAGGAACGCACTTCTTTCCGAGGTGAAGTCATAGACTAGGCACTTGCTAGGCATTGACTAGGCACCAAAGGGGTTAAATTTCAACATAGTAGACTACTCCCCCCTTTCCTTCTTTCGCCCTCACACCTACCCTAAGGGTGACAGGGCTGAATAACGCACTACGCATGTCCGTGAAATCACTTGTCTACTAAGTATAGCCCGTGCGCGAAAGCACTCGTGCGAAGTGAAATTAATGAATCTGGGACCATCTGAGACCATCTGTTAAACTCATATTTGTGAATGTCAACGAAGAGGAAATTTTACGAATACGTTAGAAGTGCAACTCATGGAAAGAAATGTCAGTTACGTAAACCAGGGATCCAGGGAAATGTTTTTGACTGTCCCCTCATTTTCATTGTTTTGATCACCAGTAAGTTTTCAGAAAGATGCAATGTGCTGGAGTTTTGGCGACTTTTCTTCGATGGTACGCAAACGTTTTACTTAAACATTACTCTATTGTGGTTAAGGAGGAGCAAGTCTCTGTAATGTAGCCGAGCGGTAACAGTTGTTGACTGTTTCTTGGTGGCAAGAAAGCCAGCTTTGAGCGCGATGATACCATCAGACACAAGAAGTCATGAAAGTCATAAATTTAGTTACAAATCTTAGTGCGATCAAAGAAGCTTTTTCTTACAAATAGTTTTTTCTGGAGAGGTGCTGGTCGAGCTGTAAGATCAGTATTTATTCGGCTAAGTTTGTTTAAGATTTAATTTGCACCTTTAAGGTTATTAATGAATAAACTTTTGAAGTTTAAAGCTTGTGAAGTTTTGAGAAACAATCACAAGTTGGCTAAGCTGTATGTGAGTTTTCGTATTAACTATAAGTTTTCCATTTATAACAGGTTTGAATGAAGCAGAAGAATCAAGAAATGAAGATCTAGACTTCAAAGAGAGAAAAAAGTGAAGCTTGGAGAGAATTTCAAGTCATTGATATTTTTACAAGCAGGCATCGACTGTATTGCTTATCCATTTACTCTTTTCAACATTAATTTTGCCTGTTGTCTATAAAAGCTCTTGTGAGCTGAGCTAAGAATGAGTTTTTCTTCCAAACTTGTTTCCCTTTATGATAATGGAAACAAGTTTGGAAGAAAGAAGAGAATTCGAAACTTCAGTGATTGTTTTGTGTTCTTACAGTTCTTATAGTGAAACCAAGCGAGACGTGACAAGAGAAATAACTAAAAGGCGATCATTCATGGAAAAAGAAAGATAAATATCAAAATGTACCTTTAATGCTGACACTGATATGAGATGTCCGGACGATTTCTTAGAACTCATAACACGTTGATAGTCTGTCTTTCATTTCTGTTTACGCTTGAACATGTACACATTCGGATGAAAGAACTGTTCTCGGCTTCGTCGGTGCATCTTCTTTTGTTCATAGCAAAAACCGGATGAAAAATTACGGAGGAGGAAACGAGAATTGAATAAAATATGGAATAACCTAGCTTTAGTGTAGATGGGAACCTTAAATATTCGGAAACCACCTTAAAAATTCGGCAAAAAGTGAGGGTGTTTGGAAATCCTTTTGCAAACGATACTAATTTAGCACCAGACGCTTCGTACGTGCATCTTCTTTTGTTCATAGCAAAAAACGGAAGAAAAATTACGAAGGTGGAAACGAGAACTCAATAAAATGAAATGAAATAACCTGTACCTTTAGTTTAGATGGGAACCTTGAATATTCGGAAACCACCTTAAAAATCAGGAAAATGAGAGGATGTTTTGAAAATCCCATTGCAAACGATGCGAGGGACTTTAAGATCCAACGACGGGACAGCAATGAGAACGTCGCTTAAAAAGTGAATTTGCGTTCGTTCAGTCTTTATCGAAATTATTCCTACCCACTTACTTTGTCAAATGTGAACAAACCCTCCTGTACTTGAATTCCTAAGGACCATATCCAAGTGCAGAAAGAGAAACAAAATTTCGTCGTTGCTTGTTTACATCCTCCATAAAGCGCGAAATTAGGCATGTTCACTTTGTAGTCGAGCAAAAACGGGCAAAGAAATGTACAAGAAAAGTGTGGTGCACGTGTAAAGTTAATAAAACCGATCGTTTTTTTTTTGACGTTCTCGTTGCCTCCGCGTCGTTGGATCTTAAAGTCCCTACTATTATAGCAGGGACGTTTCGTTCGTGCGTCTTCTTTTGTTCATAGAAAAACAAAAGGTAGAAACGAGAATTGAATAAAGTATGAAATAATCTACTTTTACCTTAAATGGGAACCTTAAATATTCAGAATCCACCTTAAAAATCGCCAAAACGTAAGGATGT